TGTTAATGAAAAAGCTTTTACAGAGCTTTGTTTTCTCTGCAGTCTTTCAGGAGAAAAAAAAAAGTTGAAAACCTGCTCAGGTAATGGGACTGGTATACTCTGTAAATATGAGAACCAAATCTTTTGGGAAAAGCTGCATTTCAGTATGTGTATGTTTATTGAAATTGAACAGCGAGCATGGAAAGTCTGTTTAAAATCTCATTACTAGTTTACTTTGGTTAAGTATTTGTGATGTGTTCATGGTTAGATAACACTGTTAGTCCAGAATGTAATGGGCAATCACAGCCTTCCTTGTGTGGAGCTCTTCAAGCTTAAAATACCAATTGCAGCATTTCTGGGGCAATCCTGCAAATAAACTTCTAACAGTGTGAAATCAAGCTTGAAATCTCAATTAGTCTGTCACTTACCGTAGAATATTCTGGACTTCTGGCACAAGCAGTTAAAACAAAGATTTAAAATTTGTGACTTTGACTAACCTTTTGGTGACAGCATCCTTTACTCTCTGACACAGATTGGTGTCTCTGTGTTTTATTGCAGGATACCCTGGGGGCCTGTTGCTATTCATTCCCTTTCCCTCTGCTGCATTTCTTTCTTCTTTACCACACTGAGAGTGGAATTCAGTTGTCTTTGCTTAGGAAACTAGTACTGCTAGTGGAGTATGGTGTCTGGTGTCTCTCTGCTCCTTCAGAAGGTATGGCTTTGCCTATACCCTCTGCCAAATCTGCTAGCCCTGTACAGATCTCAGCTCCCTAAGGCATCCAGAGTGGCAGGAGACATCTGTATTTACACAAGTAAAGCTCACACATTTTGTTACTCTTGTCCAATGTTTCTTCCCTTTCCCCCTTCCTTTCCCTCCTTCTTTCCCACTCCTTCCTTACTTCTTTCCCATTCCTGATACTGGAAAGCCTATATAGTCTGAAGCCCTTGTGTCCTTGGCTGGAACCTGGATCCTTCCATTACAGAATGTTGACCTTGGGAGGTGACTTTCAAAATAAACAGCAAATAAGTTCCTTATACTGGTATGTAGAGACAGCCGTGTGAGAATTACTATGTTGGATGTATGCTGTGTGTGTTGAAGTCCTAAGTTAGATTGTGATGGTATCCTGTAGTCACTGCAGCATGAAATTGTACGCAGTTAAAATCCAGATGATGCAAAATTTTTTGAGTTCTTATAAGTGACCATGCTGAGAACCTATTGCAGCTTGTCTGTATGTATGGCACATTGAGTTTGTGTCAGATAATCTGGGTTGACGTACCGGAACCCAGGCTGCTCTGCAGTGTCTCTCTGACTGGCGTGTTGGCCGTGTGTTTCACTGTGCCAGACGTCTTCTGTTGTCACCAAGATGTGGGGAGGTGGGAAATAGTAATTTGTCAGGAAAACCCAGCTAATGGTGAGCTGTGCAAACAGCAGCAGAACCTGTAGCTTTTGTGTAAACTGTGAAGAAGTATAAGCTTGCTCAAATTCTGATAAACATATGCAGAGGAGTTACAGTATGGGTTTTATTTAAATAAGATACTATAAAAGATGGAGTACCTAAACTTCTGAGCAGTTCAGAAATATGCTTTTAAAGCTGCTGCTTTAAATGCTGCTAAAATGTTATTCAGAGACTTAGATATTATGAGCAATAGGTAGTGTAACTTTCTAAGCCTTTTCTGTTGCATACTGTTTGTACCTCAGTTTGCTTTTTAAAGTTTAAATTCTTTTAGATGCATTTGGGAGTTTCAAGTGAAAATATGTAAGTTCAGCAATGCACCCAGACTGTTCAGTTCTCCTAGATGTTTATTAATTGTTCATTGCATGCTTTCCAACACTGGAAATGCTTCAAGTTGAACTGTGGCTCTGTTAGAGTAGGTGACCTGGGGAACACAACATAGGTCTCCAGATCCATAGGATTCTTGAATAATCTTGATTCCATCATCTGTAAATGAGATAATAATTTGCCATCTTAGAAGCATGTTGTTAGGTAGAAATATTCATTATAGGTGCATGGGTAGTATGGGAACAGGGCTTGTATAAAAATTAAGAATCAGGAAACATTCACATTCAGAGCATAGCCTGGAGCTTGCAGCAGTGTCTATGCCGGCAAAACTTCGGTGTTGGTAGTGTCTTTGGAAACATTTGGAAATGTACATGCAAAGGTCAGTAGGATATTTTTAACTGGAAAATAGTGCAAGTGTTCTACTTTTTCATAGATTTAGCTATTGAAGCTAGAAGAACTTAAAAGCAGCAACTTTGCTGCTTAAAGACCAAAATCCAGTTAGCACAGACTGGTGACTTTGAATATTAAGATTTATTGAAGACAAAGATTAAATAAAACAATTACTAGAAAGAATTCTAGAAAGTCTCTGATCTTGCATTATAGTGGCAAGTTCCAAAAATAACTGAGTATAATAGGAAATATTTAATAGGGAGGAAAATCTGAGCTTCTCGTGTTCTCCTCTCATGTTCCAGATGTTTTTTTGGTCTTTGAAATGATTAAAAAATCCCAACCTACCCCGTAGTTCAGACTCTTGAAAACTCAAAGCAGCTCCTCTGCTTTAGTGCTCGCTGAGTCAGTGAGCTCAAAATATCTCTGCAAGGATGTTACATGATCCACTATATTAATATTTAATGATCTACCTTTGCTTTTCTTAAACAGTATAGTGCTTCCTAAGGAGGAGCATTCTGGAATAATTATCTTTACTTGCCTTATGATATAAGACCGAATGTAAGCTTTTGCTTGCTCTAATGTATCCGTCAACAGACCTCTTCTGAAAACTAAGCCAAGAATTGAAGTGGCTCCTTGTGGTTTAACCCTGATATGCAACTGAGCACAACGTAGCTGCTGGCTCACTCTGCCTCAGAGTGATGGGGAGAGAATTGGAAGGGTAAAAACTAGAAAACTTTGGTTGCTCTGTAGGTCAGTGTTTGTCTACTCACAGCAACTCTTCTGTAAAACAGGAGACCAAAACTCCCACCAAAGTGAAGGGCAAGGGAGATCTCTGAACGTGTGTGAGATTAGCCTGTGTACGTGGTCTCTCTGCAGAAGAAATGGTCCGTGCAGGTAGTGGATGTTGAGATGTTAGCCTCTGGATATTTGGCTGACATTGTGTAGAGCAGTTGGATTGAACTGAGAAGTGGCTTAGTATTTTGGTGAACTTTCCAGAATAAATGTAGTTTTTCCATTCATCTTACTCTCCAGTTCCTGGTCCTCATGTGCTGAGCATCAAAGATTGGCCTCCCCTTTTTGTTTTAATTTGTTTTGTCTTAAAATTGTCCCTATTTCATGGTAAAAAGTGAAGGAGACTGTGAATCTGCAATGATATATACTCTTGCAGATACTTTTTTCCTCTTACTTTTTTTGAAACCCTCTCTGGTAAATACATAGTCATTTCTCTCGATATTTCTAACTTGTGGCGATGTGTATGTTCTTTATAAGGACACCAAAGCAGTGCCTAGAGATGGCTCTAGGCTGAAGTTCAAATGTCATTAACCTCTTCATAACAAAACTGTCTTACTTCAGGGGGAGAAGTAAGACTGTGGTTCCTAGAAATTTGGTTAGACAGCATAATGCCACCAAAAGAAACCCTGACTAAACACTGAAACGCTGCACAAGTCAAGAAGAGCTCAATGCACCGGTACAGTGTACCAGTCCAAGCCAATCTCTTTTCCAATAATAGTTCCATACTCATTTCTGAATGCAACAGTCATGCAAGTGATTTGTTTAGCTTCCTATTTTGTTCTTTTTGATCTGTAAATCAAAACATCCAATTTATTTTCAACCGTATTTCTACAAAATTACATGGCTTGAATGCCCACTTACTTGATTGCTTGAAAGCTTTCATCTATAGAGTTTAGCTGTTTAATTTGCGTGCTTTTGGTTATTATTTTTTCTGAATTTTGAGTTCAGCTTTGAATGCACTGCATTACATTCACATTGTTTTTATTTTAGTCTATGTATTTTACTTTGGGTGCATAAAAGGTTTCTGTCAAAATAATATATTTTTTATTACTTAAAGTATTATTTCTATTTTCTGCTGATTCCTGTCTGTGCATGCTCTTAAAAAACATCAGCTAGACCAAATAAAATTCCTTTTGTTCTTTTGTATGTGTGTGTGTGCCATTTTGAGATAAGGTGTGGAATTAGATGGCAGAGACTATAAAGAGGAGTTTTGGCCTCTGCAAGGTTTTGTTTTGAATGCTCTTTCTTTTTGTTTACTTTCTGCTTGCTTGCCCCTTTACCAGCAGTACAATTACAGCATTTCCTCCCTCATTTTTATTCTTGACACTGGAGAGCATAGGAATATGAAGCAGGACAAGGACATTACCTCTGCAATATTCAAATAAGCATCTTTTGTCCTACAGAAATTTTAGAAGTCCTGCAGACTGCTACCAGCCTGAAGAAATCCAGAGCTTCTTTCCCTGAGCTGGTGACAATGTGTAATTTAGGGGTGGCTTTATTTAGTATCTCTACTCTGGGTTCCAAAGCAGACTATACAGAAGGAGCTGAATTCCCTGAAACTCTAGAGTGTTAATGGGACTGTTTTTCTGATTCATGAGATTGATGAATAACATAGTTTAAAAAAAATATTTAAAATCCCATCATGTCTTTGATTTTGTTCTGATATAAATGACTCAGCTTTTAGTGAAGTATTGCAGAAGTAGATGGCTGCTTAATAGGGAATTTATGCTTCACAGTATGGGAATTTCATAAAAACAGATCAAATTGGTTTTGGCAGCACAAAGTGACATTGTATTATGGGCAAATAAATTGTTATTCTGGCAAAAGATGAATGGTATCAGTAAAATGTAACAACCTAAGTAAAAGTGGAGTCAGATTCTGGTAGAGAATAAGTAAATGTATACTGAAGGGATGAGAGGGAAAAACAGACAACTGTTTAAGTAGGGAGGAAAAACTGCCCTTAAAAGATAAAACAATGTGTAAGCATATTTCTTTAAAAAAAACCCCAAACCGACTCCCCTTCAAAAAACCACAAACCCTTTTTTGCTTCTGTTTTAGAAAATCTAATGAGGCCCCTTAAGAACTATGGAATCGCATGGTGAGCATATGTTTTAATTTAAATCAAGCTTCTTTTCAGATGTACTTGATATTGTGCTGGAAAGCTTAAGTTTTTACTTTGTTGTTTCAGCATGTCTATGGGTTTCTTGATAGAAGAGACTGCCCCGGTTGTGTGGAGAGGGCTCATGGTAATGTCAGCGGTTGAAAAATTACTGAGACAGGTAAGGACTTAAGTACATATTTATGTTTCAGACTCATCAGTTATTTTAAGATACTTTTAACTGACGCATAAGTGTCCATGACATTATTTCATATGTTAGTGGTGAGCATTTTTGTATCTTGGTCTTCATAAATTCTTAAGAATTTACTCTTAACTTCTGGTAAGAAGGAAAGTTGATACTTTTGCATTTACCTATCCCCTTCAAATAGAGCTGTTTTTACATGGGTTTGATGAGTGAATTACCCCAATTTGCCTGCTTTCTCATTCCTTTTTGTGTTTCTTTATGTGTGAAAAAAAAAGGCATTTTGAAGTTGCATCAGGACTTGAATGTATAGGTGTCTGTGCACATCTACAGCTGTATTCCCTTATGTGCTTGTTAATTCACCAACACTAAGAATTCTTGGATGGCATTTGACATGTGACAAGTAGAGGGAAATGCAGATAGATTGTTAGTTAATACATTTTCTGGCATATAGAAGCAGGGTGACTTTTTTATTTTTTGACAGATTTTTTTTCTTTTATTGTGAATAGAGCTGTGAAGAGCTAATGAGACAAACAGCTGAAAAAATGCGTTAAGGTTGTGTGTTTAGGGTTTGAAGTGACCCAGATTGTTCACAGCTGACATGCATTTTAGAGATCTGATGTATCCAGCTTGGAGATCACAAGGTTTCTATATGTCTTCTTTTAATGCCTCCAAATCTTACGTTCCCTTAACAACTGAAAGGAATATTTTTTTCAGCCTTTTCCCATTTTTGTGGAATTCTCCTCTAACGTGGATTTTAGAATGGTGGCACTCATTGCTCTAGTCAGAAAAGCCAAAATTTCAGGAGGAACATCTTCGTCTAGAATTGGCCTCTAAAAGTAAGGGGTATGCATGGCAACAGCTGTGGAAGGCTGTTCTGACCTCTTTGTGTGTTGCATTGCACTGGCCAGGCTCACAAAAATAGAAAGCCTCGAAGGTAGAGCTGAAGTTAGCAGCTGCTGTATTGGCATGCTGTGCCCTGAGAGACTGAAGGCTGGCAGGCACTCCAGTACCCTTATTTCAGTCAGTGGTATCCCCAGAGGGGAAGCCTGTGCCATCATTTTTGTGGAGGGTTTGGATGACGCTGTGTAATGAGCTTGTGGCTCCCTAGCAACCAGTGATGCAGATACATGCTGTCTGACCATGCTGTGGGAATGAGACGAGTCCATTAATGCTCAGGGCATTGCTGATTTGCCTGAGAGTGGAACCTGGGTTCTGAAAGAAGAAGGCTTTACAGCTAAATTTCTTCCCACATGCATTTTGCTTCTGTACAATGACCAGGACAGTCTTAAAGTTGTGTTGGAAAAAGTTGTTTGAATCTACTCCTTCAAAGAAAGAAGCTCACAGATCACAGGGAGACCCAGAAGGTCTATCAGATGTACAGGTGGTTTTTAGAAAAAAAATACTGCATTTTCCAGCCTAAGACATGCTATTTTGTTTTCAAAAGCTGTACTCTCCCTTCTGACATAGTTACTAGTCAATCTCAACAAGAGGTTAACTGTAGGACCAATAGTTTTATAACCTTGGACACCTAAACAAGAGAGAACAACAGCATATAATGATGCTTTTGAAAATACTGTCATTCCATTTTATACTAGTAGTTTTGTGATTTGTTAGGGACTTGGAAAATTTTTCTTATTTTCTTTTTATCTGTTCTGGTTGGTCTTAGCTGTTAACTTTTGTTTGACAGGATAAAGTTGCTTCTAAGAATAAGATAAACTTCAGCTTGTATTTAACTTCCTAAAAGCATATTCTTAAGAAATAGCTGCTTTGTCTCCTTAGCTGCATAGAAACCATTTAAATTAGCTCCCTAATCTAGATTTGCAGGATAATATAAGTGTAAGGGGCCCCTGTGCATTCAGGCAAGCTGATAAAATATTAAATTCTTAAAATAATTAATTCAGGCAGATAGAAAACACAGAGATTCCCAGACTTCTGTGTTAGAATAATTCTTGGTATTTTATTGTTAGGTGGTAGAGAGATTTTTTATTTAAGAGCATCAAGACTATGTGTTCACTCTGAAAATAACTTTGGATGCTTGTTCGGTTTTTTCCATATGAACAAATCTGTTTTCCAGAGTTTATCATACTTCAGATACTGCAGTAAAGCATTTGAAGTGGTCAGTTTCCAAATTCATTTATGAGGACTTGTTGACTCATAATTGATCTTTGCCTGTAATGAGTATTTAAATGCTTTTCTTATACTTGGAACTTAATTAAATTTCTGGAATTGTTACTTCAGAAAATATATTTGTTACATATATACGTTATACTTTCTTATGTACTTACTGCATGTAACGTCACTCTTTGTAATACATGTATATCTGTCCTTCCTTGGTGCATGAATGGCTTTTCAGCATAGTCTGGAGTCCAACCTCATTATTGTCCCATGTCACTTCTACTTGCATGTGGCCAGGTTGTACGTCACTTTTCAGATAAAACTGAAAAGACTTTTAAAATGTAGGCTCTCCTCTTGCAACATGTCTAATCAGAGAAGGTACCTTGGGTCTTGTTTGTGGTGTGGTGTCAGACTGGTGGATAACAGGCAATAGTGTTGAAGACCCAAAGTAGTGCTTGGTGTTTCTCTGGTAATCCGTATCTCGTGAGCGAAGGTGGTTTTCTGGAACACGTCATACGATTTTCCTTCAGTACAATTTGAAGGAAATATACTTTATAATACAAAATGGAATTAACAGTTTAGAATACTATAGTACATACGCTACCTGTATATTGATGTACGTGTGTCAAATTAGTATGTAAATGAAAATATGTAGCATATTGCTTCTATAACAAAAGTATTGATCAATAGAAAAGAAGGACAGTGATGATTTTAAGTTGTTGAAAGAACAAGAAATATGTAAGGAAACTATTTTTCATCTGTAGCAGAAGTGAATTAGGAACAGTAATAGAACGTTTGATCTGTATAAACATATTCATAATTATATCCATAAAAATTATTTCTAGTTTACATGCCTTGAAATTATCCAAAATTTTGTTGTATCTAAGAAGTGACTTCTTTGTTAACGTAATTAGACGTACTGTAGGCCCATTTACACTGCAGGGTGATCTTTGTCGCTTACCTGGGTTTTACCTTTTCTTATTTCCCTGTCACCTTCATGTAAAAATTCTTTCACCTCTGTTATCACTTCCTTTGAATCTTTCTTGCCTGTAGGTGAGATAGAAAAGAGTATTTTTTTGTTTACTTAAATTTTAAAAGGTTGTTCTTTTCTCAAAAGGCATAATATAAGCCCAGGTAAGGAGGTTTTGATTGTTCTCCAGTGTCATCTATAGCACTGAGCTTTTTCTGTTCAGTTTTCACTTCATATACACTTCAGAAGCTGCCTACTCTTTTGTCTAGCCCCATTTAGCACTTGTTCATTCCCTGTGTGTCTTGATTCAGTGTTAAGTTATTGGGTTCAGATTAAACAAGATACCTCAAAATGCATCGTCTTGGTGTATTTGTTGTGGAAGTGATTAACCTTAGGCTAAGTACAGTAAAAGTAGAATTTTTTTGAGTCACCTAAAGCGTGTACTTGAACAGTAATGTGTCTGAAAAGCTCTGTTGAAATAAGTATCAAGTAGACAGCTAAGAACCTTAGAAATATAAAGATTATTACAGAAAAAAAAAAAAAGACAAGAAGGCAAGCAAAACTTGTTCTCTGATTTGAACTGCTTTTGTGACAAGGATTTCAAATAGTCATTACCACTGCCCTATACAGTCTGTATGGTGAGTTTTCTAGCACCATTTGCATTTCTTTCTGAGGACATCTTGACAGGTCAGTGGCAGAGGAGCAATTAGAGGGGTGCAGGCACAATCCTGCTGTATGCCTTGCAGTATATTGTGACAATTATTCTGCCAAAAGGTTGGGAATGAGGAAGTGGAGCTATGTTGGCTACCAGTTTGGTAGCTGCTGTAGTCATAGTAGGAATACAAATGGGGAGTGAGGGGGCTCTCATTTAGGGAGTAATCAGTAAAACTTTTAATATGAAAGTTAGCAACTGTTCGTTTCTCTGATCTTGAACCCCCTGTCTTATTCTATGTGTGTTACTGAGTTGAAATCTCATCAGAGAAGTAAAAATAAAAATCAATATCCAACAGACAAGTCTGCTTTTCCTATCAAAAAAATCAAATAAAAATGGGACTACAGGTAAAGTACAACTGCATATTTTACTGTGTAGTGTTCTCCTTGTATCTCTGACATATCAGTAGATATACTCGTATCACTAGTGGAACAAGCGTTGCCTGTACAACATGGATTATAGATATCAGTGATTCTGTTTGGTGCAAACAGTCCCCTTGGAACTAGCTCAAAAATCTGGTCTCTATTCAAGACAGGAATCTTGGGTTGATGAACATCCTTAAAAGGATTTTGTACCCTGACATGACGTTTTAACCTATGTTTTTGCAGGCTAGTCAGATCTTACGTGACAGGACTCTTGTATTTCTTCCTTATCATGCTTCTCGGGAGTATCCAGAATATTCTGTGCATTGACAACATCCTTGGTGTATTATAGCTATAAAGTAGAGCCTCAGTGCTGTTAAGTGTATTGTGGATTCTAAAGGTTCTTTCAATTTACCTGATAAGGAAGAACATGTTTTCCCAAGAAAGATTATGAAACTTTTCCTGGAATAGCTCAATTCTAATGAGTCCCTAAAATACTGATCTAATTGTAATTCCTCCATCTCTTTCTTGTTGCTTCCTTTAGCACCTCTTTCGTACGTCTGTTTTAGTATTGAATTACTATTTACTATGTATTGAAAGAAAATTAAAATAAAACAAAGTTTCACTGGGAGGGATATAATGAGGAAGGAAAGAATACAAGGAAGTTAGCAGAAAGCAAATTACCTAAAACATCCAATGCAGAGCAGTTGCATGTGAACAAAAGGAAGTGGAGCCTTGCGCTTTAAAGCATGGACAGGCTTTATCCCCTGCAGATTCATGTTGAAACCCATGAATTCAGCAGAAAAAGAATCAAAAT